TCGGCCCTTTTCGTTCGAGGAATTTCCGCTCCACAAATCGTGCATCTATCCGGGAAAGATGAACAATCGAGTAGGCCGCGCTGGTGTTTTTTGTTCACTTTAGAAGCGCACAGGAAACGGGCACGACCTTTGACCATGAAGAGCCGCCGATCGGAAATTCACGGTTTTAATTATCGGGACGAAGGTCGAACACTCATTTGTTATTCAGGCCTTTCAATGCACGATTTTATGAGGTCACCGATAGCGTCGCACCTTCTTCATTTGCAGCGGATCATCAACATCATCATCATCGTCATCGCCGCTTATTAGTTCGAAGCAATGAAGAAGATTTGATAAAAAGAAGAAATTGGGGATCGAGCGGGATTTATGAGAACCAAACGGCGGTACCGGCGAGATGGAGGTACCCGATCGGTTGCCGCATGCAAATGCCTGCGCGGAAATCAAAGTCGGCCGGGGCGCTTTGTTTATTCGCTTGTTTGTTGCGGCACCGCGACAGCCAGTGGCCTTTGGGAGGCCTTTTTTGTCCACAATGAAAAACTTCACGAACCGAACGTGGATTGGAAAAGCGGAAAACAGTGGCGGCGATTCACTAATTCCACTCAATGGCTATTAGTTTGACAGCTGTCAACTTCCAACTATTTAGACATATAAAAAACGTCGCTATCGAGACGCTGCGCAGATGGCCCCCCAAGTGGCACTGACATTGTTGGCTGATCCTTGACAGTGCTGCGCGTCAATATTCAAATCAGTGTCTGAAACGGCAACATTCCAGCACAGAGACACCAACAAGGTCCAATAGTGTTAGTTCTATTTGATTAAAAGTGTATTTGACGGCCCATTTTAGATTCTACGCCCTTGAGCCACTGCTGACTTATGGGACGCGAGTGATTTAGAGCAGCACCGACCGACTGCGCCTGTCACCATAACCTCTTGCCGTCGTTTTGCGTTCTTCTTCGTCCTTTTGCTAGACCCCCCGCGCCCCTTTTCCAAACCAGCCGAACATACGGGGGTCAGCGCTGTTCAACCATCAAAACTCAGCAGTGAAACCTCTTGACCCTTCAGGTAGGACCGGGTGGAGTGATTTAAGTAGCTGACCAACTGTCAAACGGCGGGACCGCGCAAGCGGATTATTTAATGAGATGTGGGGGCCGCCGAATCGGCCGGACTTAAGTCGCGCAGATCACGAACGCTAGTTAGATGCGTATCGAGTGCCCATCGAAACAATTAAGAACATTCAGGCGACTTGTTTGTTCGCTTGTAATTGGCAGTCGATTTGGGTCGAATTCGTGTGCCATTTGCGATTTAATCAAACGTGATAATCACGGGAAAATGACGCGGTAATGTCAAAGTCAACGTCACCAATCACGTCATATTGACTGATGAATAGTTGCATGTTTCAGTCTTCTGTATGCTTCTGTTTGAATAATCGCAAATGGGCACTTTGGTAGGGAAAACATTGACTTTACCCTGCAGCTTGGTCGCTGATGCCGGTTTGATCAAAAATTCCCTATGATGGGCTAGAGCTATCAGGTCGGCTGATCTTGGAGGGGGTTATTAGGGGCACGCCACCCACCAATAATAAAAAATTAAGCTCCGTCCGGCGGCCGCGCAGCGTTGCCGCCGTTATCTGATCGGCTGGGCCGAATAATTACCCGCGTTCCCCGTGTATTTAAAAGTCCTCGACGGGCACTCCCCCTAGCGGATAATGTTTTCTCTAATAACTATAATCACGTGGGCAAATATATAATCAATTTGCGGCCGGGCCTGCTTAAGACGCCCACGCGACCCCGGCAAGAAAAATCGAGATTTATATTATGTTATTACGGCCGGGGCATGACGATGGGGCCCGTTTTGCTCGTCCTATAATTACGTCTAATATTCGCGAAAAAAACGGGAATTGGTCTTTGAATCGGGGCCCGATCCTATCGGGGATACACGCGCGTACCATCGCATGGTAGAAAAACGAAAAAACCGTCAGGTACTACACCTACAACACCGTTACGGCCTGATTAGAATTGCAGAACAGTTTCCGGACTATCTTCACTGTACCGTCCCATCCGATGGGTTTACGGAC